TCGAGATATGTGTTTTCAGCTAAAAGTCGTCCAATTTTGGCCCCGACTCTTAGTAAAGCCCATTTCAGGGATATAATTTAGCGTCTCTGACGCATTTAGTTATTGATATATCACGYTTTTAGTAGTACCGTTATATGGGGAGTGAACGGAATTACCATCCGTTTTCATGCATTTTTATCTTTAGTGGTTTAGGAGATTTGTACATTAAGCTTATTAGAGGGTCATGCCCACTTTTTCAACATTTTTTTCCCACATATGCCCCTTTTGCTAGTGCGATCCGCTGTTCCAAGTTGAAGTTTTAACATATAGACAAGTCACCCGGATTTCAACTCGTCTCGTCATCCTGATCATTTATATATACTATACATACATAACCCTATATCTGACTCGACTAGTTTAAGGTGATACGTACAACCAGAAGAAGAACAAAACTTTTGTACTCTGTAGCAATATGTAGCCAGAGTATAATAATAAAATATAAAAATAAAACACAAAATGTAAGCAAAAATCATAATAAAAAATACAACTGAAAACATAAAAGTTACTTCATGCAGTAACTGTGTGGCTTGCAGCAGCTTTGGATTCTTCTCCTCCCTTGCCAATGCTACGCTTGCACTCACCTGATCCAAATGCTTCAAATCCACTTGTGCACCGTTGTATGTCCATGAACCGAATTTCATGAAGCAAATTTGCTCATCGTAAGGAAAATATTCAACATTCATTTCGCAGGAGGACTTGTAGATAGCTGGCGGCTCCCAGAAGACCTCGCCGGTATATTTTAATGTTGCCTTTGTCATGAGTGTTACCTGAGGATTTCATACATGCGCAAACATATATACACATATACATTACATAAGCATGTACATATAAGTTTTTTGAATATGAATAAATGTAAACAAAAGTCAACACCATTTTCTAAATATTTATTTTTTAAATATTTTATTGTACATATTTCGTACATTATTTAGAAAATTTATTCGCCTTATAATTCATATGAAAAATTATATTTTATTCGTATATAAATACATAT